GGGAGTAAGCGTTGCGTGACGACACTAATAGCTACTTAGGGGAGTAAGCGTTGCGTGACGACACTAATAACTACTAAGGGGAGTGAGCGTTGCGTGACGACACTAGTGCGGCTGCGTAGGAGACTATCATGTTGGTTGGTGTAGCAAAAGAAATCAACTAAGAATGTTTCGTTGAACACAACCAACATGACAACCAACATGACTGCTATGGAACCACCAATGAATTACCCGTTCCGAGGTTAAGGAAAAACTGGATCGAGTTGGTATTGCAGTGTATTTTGGATCCGCCTAGGGGACGAAATAGACGCCATCTTGGCAATATGTTCACTAAAACAACCCCACAATGCACTGCAATGCCAACTCGACCCAGTTTTTYCCGCAACCTCGGAATAGCTTATAATTTAAGAACTTTCTCACCTTTGAGTTCAGAAAGCGCTTCTACGACGATCTTCTCCACTTCTCTTCTCTCCGCGCGTGTACAGTGTGGAGGAAGACTGAATCCCCTGATCGACCTTCCGGTCCTACAGCGAGATGACAACACATATCGCTCATCAAAATTACCACCSCGTATTTTACTGGCATCTAAGTCAGTCACGTGTTTGTCTGTTTTCTTGTATCCGTTGTGGCGTTCTTCGATCACAGGATCGAAAAGATCGGCGAAGACTTCGTACGTCTCTTCGTCACCAGCAACTAGACCTACTGTGCTGATGAACGGATGGCCCGGGTTATCCACACCTGGAGAAAGACACGCGAATAAGTTTTATCTCTTACAAATATTACGTGTTCCCTATAGATACAAATAGCAATCAAGGGTCGCGAAGTGGTTGTGCCTGCCCTCTCACCTCTGGAGTCTCAAGCTTGATTCCTAACTCAGCTTTACATGTTGGTAGAGTTTGTTAATTCAAGCGTTTTTTTATTCCGGTTCTTCAATTTTTCTACCTCTGTAAAACCCAACGCGCTAAATTCCAATTCTATCTGTGAGTTGGCCGTTCCCTGAGTTATATCAGCCCAAAGAATGTTTCAGAGTATCGATAAAATTGTAAGGTATTGATGATCATCATCAGGTATCATCATCATGTATTACCATCATGTATCATCATCATGTATCATCATCATCATCTATTACCATCATCATCAGGTATCATCATGTATTGATCATCATCATGTTTTATCGTCATGGTAACTGTCTTCTGCATCAAATCAGGGAGGTGGAAGTGAGAATGCCCCTCCTACCTCCATGAAAAAATTCCTTTTAAATAATTCGTTTGACCACAAAATCCATCCGTGGCCCATCCAAAACCCTTCCTAATATCTTTAGCGCTTCAAATCAACCCAAACCATGGACTGTATAGCGGCTGCCTGAGGCTCCTTCACATGCTTTCAGTTCAACCCCGTTGAGCTGCGCCACTGCTGTACTTACGGTAGTGATTAGCAATAAAATTTTTTAAATTTCAAAACCTTTTTCATTTTCATATAAGAAAAAACACCACTGACCTGTCTGTATAGCTTGATCCAAAGTGAAACCACTCGGAGTAGTCTTATTCTTCAATTTAGCGTACAACCGCGGGGAAAGATGGTTTGCCATACAGTTATTATGCTTCCTAACATCCGGATAATCATCCATAGGATGAAACTGTCGATGCGAGCCATAATTACGAAACCTTGAGCCGGCGGAAAACAGTTTAGCAGCGGCGTACGCACTCACCCCGAGACCGATTGCTGATACGATTAACACGCGTTTGTTACTCAGCACTTTGAGCATTTTTAAAAAAATAATCCTGGTTTACGAGTTCTGTGCGATAATTAATGAAAGTGGAGCCGGTAAAGAGAAACAAAGAGATAAGCCTTTGATGACGATCGATAATTGATTGATTGTTTGACTAATTGTAATCAGCGCGCGAGGATTATTTAGCATTTGGCTCTTTTGGCGTTCGAATCCATTTCGTTTATTGTTTTTAACGAAGTTAAAAAAGGGACATCGCCGCAGTTTAATTTATTATAGAATGCGCGTGCATCATCAATCATTGATATCAATAATCATTTTCGTCATGTATCATCATCATATTTTATCATCATGTATCATCATCTCGTATCATCTTCATCATGTATTAGTAGTATAGGCCGCATGGCACGGGCCGAATTTCGAGGTGGATTTGCTAATTTTTGAGGTGGCTTCGAGTAGAGCAGGACGAGTACATTAATTATTCATCAAATATTACCATAAAATGTTTTCAACCAGTTTGTTTTCAACCAGTTTGTTTTCAACCAGTTTTCAACTTGGTTACAAAATATTGCCATAAAATGACGGGTAAGTGGTGGACTCGTGGTGGGCTACTGTTTGAGGTTGCCATGACGACCAATTGACGTCATAGGACTATTGTTGGACCGGTATGAACAAGACTTTGTTTCGGGAATTCGAATTATAGAGCGCGCGGATTTTAAGACCCAAAAAAATTGGTTTTGAGAAACGCAATGGCTACGTTATCATGCCTATCATGCTACCGTCAATGAATTCAAAGGACAGATCCTGATCCACATCTGAAAAAGGTTCCAACAAAATACGGAGGACCTCTTTCCATTCAAAAGTTTGAAGAATTGAAAAAAGTCATCACGGACTTGAGTGAGATGGTCAACGTCATGGCAGAAACGAGTCCTATATCCACCCAACCCGGAGATCAAGCAAGAATTCAGAACCAACATTAGCAAGTAATTGAACAACGAGGTACGAACCCTGAGTCAAAAGGTTTCGCTAAAATACAAGTTTTAGGATGCAAAGAAAATGAGCCTCCCAAGAAAGGACAGAAATCAAACAAGCTTTCTAATGACGTAGCCATTGCGTTTCTCAAAAGTAAAATTTTTAGGTCTTGTTTGCTTGTTTTGCTTTGTTGAGTTTTGGAGTGAAAAATTCAAAATCCGCGCGCTCTATAAATCGAATTCCCGAAACAAAGACTTGTTCATACCGGTCCAACAATAGTCCTAAGACGTCAATTGGTCGTCATGACAACCTCAAACAATAGCCCACCACGAGTCCACCACTTAYCCGTGATTTTATGGTAATATTTTGTAACCAAGTTTAAAACTGGTTAAAAACAAACTGGTTGAAAATATACTGTTTGAAGGTTTATTCGAGTTTGTTACGTTACGTTTGTACTAGCCATATTTGGAATGATGATGTAAGTGATCACGCAACAGTATTCGTAATTTGAAGAATAAATCAGTTCTGCTCCAGATTTYGTGCTGTTTAGTTGTGTTTTTGTTTAGTTCAAGTTTYAGTTTTAGTTTCACTTATTTTCCTGCGACCTATCTTGGAAAAGACCTGCTATGAGTTTCATCATTCTTGCCATTCAACATACACTTGGTCACAATTTGATGAATAATTAATGTGCTCGTCCTGCTCTACTCGAAGCCACCTCAAAAATTAGCAAATCCACCTCGAAAATCCGTCCCGTGGTATTTTATCATCATCATRTGTCATCATCATGTTTCACCACCATGTATCATCATCTTGTATCATCATCATCATGTATCATCA